CAGAAGAAATCTCACCCTTTTACATAGCCATGCAGACACAACTCATTACACACATGTTCTCTGGATAAACAGGTATTAACCCTCAAGTAAGTGGATGTGACAGCAATATTTGTCACAGTTCATTCCAAGTTTGCTTGGTAATTGGGGTGACCAACTCTTGGCTTCATCCAGAAAAAAAACCCCCAAGTTTCCTAAGTTAATGACAGGAGATGGTGTTACACTGGAATCATGGTACCCACTGAGATTTGGGTCACAGGAATGGGGACAGAGGGGTGCTGTCCTTCTTGATGTTAACAGTTCAGAGAGAGGGCTCCCTGGTTCTTAAGAAATACATTCTTGGACCTCAAAGCTGGCAAAAGACCTATCTAGTTTTCACAAAGGACTTATATACATTTCAAAGAGGGGAGAAAGCTTCTGAAATCACAAATTTCCTAAAGTAAATGCTGTAAGTAAAAGGATGGGAAGGGACTTTCTTCCTCTATTTTCAACAGGGACAATAAACTTCTTACCTTTTTTTTGTCCTAGTGGACTTTGGTTGTGTTTGCTCCCATGGGTGTTGTTCAGCTGGCTGTTGGCTGATTGATCTAGGAGAGTTTTAGATGGAAAGGCTTTGCTAGACCGAGCATGTCCTTCCTGTGTCAGAGGCCAAGCAAAGGCACAAGCAGTTTCCAGCCTCTGCTAGAGTCACATTCCCTGAACTCTCAATGGCTGAGTCAAGTGCATGATGGAACCCAGAGGCAGAGTGTGAAGGCACAAAACATATGTGGCAGAAGCTGAGATAGATGTAAAGGAGGCTGAAGGATTAGGGACATGTTCATCGTCAGACTATCACAGATGGGGCCAAATATGAATTCGCTCAGGATTTGAGTTTGAAACATCTGTGAGGAATTCTGGCAGAGTAACCCCCAGGGATGTGGATTTTAGGGAGATAGCTCAGGAAGTAGGTAGGGTTTTCGATGGTGGAAGCAGATGCCCCGGAGCGTGTGTGAGGTGCGAAGAGCAGAGAAGGATGTAACCTGGGACCAAATTCCTCTTCCTGTCACTAGGGGTAATGGACATGCCACTCTCCTGGTTGGAGAGAAGAGCCCTGCCCTCTGTGCCCAATGCAGGACCCCATGCTCCTTCCTTCTGTTCTCTATGGCAGGGCCACTGCTTTGCTCCCCAGGGAGCCCCCAGAATGCATGCTGCCCCTGGAGTTATGCACAGGAAGACTCTGATGGCATCCCCGGGTTTGGGAAGGCCTCCCTGTGCTCTCCACCTTCTCTCTTGCAGGCATGGGCTCTGTCCCCAAAATACACATCACCGGGCCAGAGAGGGACAGGGTTTCAGTGCACAGCCTTGGAGTGGCTCCCAAAGCCCCATGTGCAGTGGAGGTCCCTCAGTAGGGAGAAGTTCCTGGCATTCTCAGAGACCCATGCCCAAGATGCTAAAGGGCTGTTCAGTGTGGAGGCTGCCTGGTGGTGAGTGACAGGTCTCCAGGCAATATGACCGGCTCAGTGCTTAGCCTCATCTGACCTGCCCACCATATTGCCAGCTGTTTTGCCTTCAATGCAACTAGTTCTCTGTCAGCACCTGGAAGCCACAAACCAGGTATACTTATGTTGAAACCTTGCCTTTGTACTTCACTGTTCTGCTCTTTGCAGCTTCATTCCCCCTTTCGGCTTTTTGTTTTAATTATTTTTAGTTATGCCATTTTCTCCTCTGTTGGCTTTAATAATATCTAGATCATCTGTCTTGATTTCTCTATTAATTATAGTATTTTTATTATTTGTTGACTACCCTTGAGATTCAGCTTTATTTCTTTCCTTTTTTTTCTTTTTCTTTTCTTTCTTTCTCTCTTTCTTTCTTTTTTTAATTAAACTGGGTCCCGAGCTCCACCAGGTGAGGGTCCGATGAGGTTGTGCTGAGCTGACATTAATATTTTCTTCAGCAGGACAGGAAGGAGTCAGTCCTACACAAATCTGAGCATATGCAGCCTGGCAAAGGGCACAGGAGCGCAGATGCTGGGAGGCAGAAGTTGCTGTTGTCAGAGTGGAGGTTAGAAAGGAGGCTAGGAAGGCTGGAGAGAGTTGGGGAGGAGAGCAGAGAGGGAGAAGGAGGAGGGCCAGGGTCTGGGGCAGGATGACATTTTCAGCACTCTGCTACTAGGGCTGTATGACCGTATTTCCCCACACTTAGTGGCTTGACCCACAAACACTTACTGTCTCACAGTCCCAGGGAACCGGGAATCCAGCAGCACTCAGCTGGGGGCTCCTACCAGAGTCTCTCAGGAGTTTGGGGCTGTTGTCAACACCGAAGCAGGACTTGCTTCACTCAGAACCTGAGCTCACTTAGGGGTGTTAGCAGGGTTCAGTCCACATCAAAGGCCTGAGTTCTTCTCTTCTGTTGTTGTCTCTCAGTGCTAGACCACATGCATGTGTCTGTGTCATGACTCAACATAGAGGTCTGTTCCCCAGTGTGAGGATCTGAGAGAGAACACAGGTCAGAGTGAGCACGTGGCTGGGCACTGAGATTTTATAACCAAACATTGGAAGGGGCTTTGGGTCCTGTTGCCATCTTCTGTAGAATAGAAGTGAATCACTAAGTCTAGGCCACACTCCAGAGGAGGGAGTTACACAAGGACATGTATACAAGAGGTGGGGATCTCAAGGAGCCACTGAGGGGAAAAGATGAGGACCCTGACAGGGTCAGTGCCTTTTCCAGAATCACAGGGACTGGTCAAAAGGCAGAACCAAGCATGAATCTAGCTCCATGTCCTTAAAGTTGGGGTTCTGGGCTGCACCCAGGCTTTATGAGGGGGGCTCTGGAAAAGGTTGTGTTATTGTACCTGTACAGACATGGAGATGGTGTGGGGGTGAGGGTGAACAGGAGGGTGACAGGAGGCATTCCAGCACATTCTTGTCTGAGGAGGACCCCAGGTCAGGGCAACCCACTGAGTGCACCCCTGTCCACATTGCACCCAGTGGAGAGGGAGAGAATGGCATCGCCTAGAGGTGAGGGTGGGTTCTGACCTTCTAGGCCAAGGCTCCAATCCATTCTGTCTGGTTTGCTTTGGAAATTAGCCTATGATCTTGGGAAGCTTTTGCCCATCCTTCCCGTCTTCTGGGCCTCCAGAATGTGAACACTGGTACACACACATACACACACACACACACACACACACACACACACACACCCACCCCAGTAAGGACGGTGGGGTGGGATCTGAGGAGCTGCAGGTTCAGAGGTGGTGAAGAGATGACGAAAATATGGTTGGAAGCATTTCCTAGCTGTGACACTACTCCTCCAATTTCATAGGTATCATCCCAAATATGCCTGAGGACATCCGGAGGAAGTACATGCTAGATTAATCTCCATTGCACAGGAAGGACACAGAGCTTCCCTGAGAGGCACAATGGCTTATCCAGGGTCAAATCAGGTAAGAATGAAGACTTGTGTCTGAACCTAGATGTGTCTCAAAGGTGGGACCTGGATGCACCCACCTTCCCAGGGGACTGTAGAGAGTAGTGCATTGGTGTAACTGTGTACAGATGAGACATTTCATGGAGAAAGGGAGTGAGCAGCCAGCAGCCCAGGGCTCTATTTGCATAGGTGTTACCCCTGGAGGGGACTCGGGTAGGTGATCCTAGGCAATGAAGTTACTGCCTTGACAACAGCCCCCAAGAGAACTTGGAATCCCCATAACCAGGCACCCATATTCTAGTATAGTCCCACACCAGGCTCACTTGGCTGGAGACACTTGATAGTGAAAAATGTTTGCTTGCTGTTCTTTCTTTCTGGAGCTCTGGCTTCCAGAGACCCCAGTGGGGAAGATGTTTCAGATGCTGTGGATGTTGGCTCCACCCTCGCTCCCAATGCCTCAGGCTGTTTTTCTGAAGGCCCCGTGAAGTAATACAGAGTAGCCTAGGGAAGCCAGTTCAGTTCAGGCCACCTCTTCGAGGCATCCCTGGGCAGCCCCATTCCCTCCTCTTCAGTTTCAGGGAAAGAGGGACATGTGAGGAGGTCCTGCCCGGGGCTAGGGAAGGTTGGAGGGCAGTGGATAACCTGGTGGCCCCATCATGTCCACACCAATGTCATGGTGGGTAGGGTGGAAAAGGGATTCCTGAGGTGCTTCTTTCCTGTGCAAGGGTTAATCCAAGGTCCTTGCGCATGTATCTTTTTCCTCCTTGGTGGAAGTCTGTGCACACTGTGGTGTAGTGTGTCTGGAATGGAGTCACATGGGTCTGAAGGCCAGTAAAGGCAGCCAGTCAGGACTCTGAGGCCTCCTGCCTATCTGCTGCACTGTCTTTACAGAACTGCACACCAGAGATGGGGCAGGAGTTGAGTGATGAGATCCTCTGCTCAACTTCCGTGAAGGACAGGAATATGCCCCACACCACCAACAAGATGCAGTACCGAAGTGGCTCAGGGGGAGTGCAGGTACCAGGGAGACCCAACAGCCAGGGCCCAGATGTAGCAAAAAGATCCCAGGGCCCAGAAGCCACACTGCTACTTCCCTGGGCCCCCTTGTAGAGTTCTGCTCCCAGATGAATCTGGATCCCCATATCCTCCTCAATTTGCCTTCACGGCCCAGCCCCTGCCATCGCCAGATGCAAAGTCACTGTCCACTTATTTGTAGGAATATCAGAAAAGAGACCTGAAGTCATTTCACATCCCATCTGGTCTAGAGTATTTTTTCACTGTTGTAAGTATTTTCCTAACTCCTGTTCCCAGGTGTCCCTGTTGGCCTGACCATCCTTGCACACCTTCTCCAAATCTGGCACATGATCATCATGAGTAGGGAGATTTTTGCCAGAAGGGACATGGGGCTCATGGTATTTTGTCTGCTGCTCTGCAGTTTGGTTGCCAAGGAACACATCCCTGAG